CTATGGGGCTCAACTTCATATGCCGACACAGTTTTTAAAAAACAAAAGAAGTATTTAAGAATCCTATCTTTTGCACCAATAAGAGCATCATTTAAACCTATTTTTAAAAAATACGACATATTAACAATGCCTTCTCTATATATACCTATTTAAAATTATGGTTTCTTTAAAAAGTAACTACCAATCATATGACAACAATCAATTCATCCATCAATATCCTACTCGTTTTAAAAATAATTTGAAATATCCAAGACATCGCCTCTGTCTGTATGAAAGATCACCATTTTATATGAGTCTCAGGCTTTACACCAGTCTACCTACCAAATTCAGACAAATTACCAGTATTTCAAAATTCAAAAGCGAGTTTAGAATGTATCTCTTACAAAAACAGTTTGAATCTGTTTCTGAATATTTGAATAACAGTTAAACATTTTTCTATTACATTTATTTAATTTATAGGAATGAATTGTAAATCTAGTTTTAATAATGGACAATGTCACCTGTTTCATCAGCATTGCTGAAAAACTTGAAATGTATTGTGACAATAAAGGAATATTTCATTTCATTTCATTTCATTTCATGGAGACTACCTTTACAGCCGTGGGAAATATTTTTAGTATCTAGTCTCTAGGAAGTGACCAGATAAACCAAGGACCGGAAATTCCGAGGCCGGATATTAGGGGTTCTACTGTAATACTTACTCTTACTCCCAGGGCCATGCATATCTAAGAAGATATTTGGCCGCACCAACAATTCTACAGTTCTACTGTAATACTGGTCATAAAACTATAATAGGCCTATATTGATATTTAAAATTTTATACAGTGATATTGGGTGTTTGTAGACATAATACGTCACTTAACTAACAAATAATACGTAGCTTGCCAAACATTTTAATTATTTTCATTTTTTAAACTCAAATTACATCTTTAGTTCCAATAACTGTACATTGTAGTTTCACCCTAGGTGTCAAAAATAAGAATTATTGTAAAGTTTTTAAACTTTTTTAAAGTTTTTTTTTTTACGTTTTTAAACTTGACAATTGTCAAGTTTGGTAAGCACAAAGACTTCTTTTTAACTTTCATGAAATTGTATTATCCCTTCATGTGGCCAATATGAGAATGAGAATGAGAATGAGATTTTATTTGCCAATTAATATTCCATACAATATAGAAATAAAATATTCCATCTATCAAGATACTGATTTCACTTTTCCCATTAAGTTAGTTCAAACAGTTTTAAATCTACTAACAAAAGTAAAAAATAGGGTAAAAAATGAAGATAGAAAACAAATAGTTATGTGTTAATAAATAGGAGAAAAAAGAAAAAAAATTCTGATTTAGCCTACCTTGTTTGTATCAAAATTTTTCTGTGCCTTTATGCATTTGAAGGTCAAATTTTTGGGAATAATAACTCTCCCGAACTTTGGCACAGTTTCATTTACACTCTTGATTTCAACAGTTTCATTTACACTCTTGATTTCATCGTCTTGTGCTATTACTTGAGTTGCAAAATATTGAAACAGTAAACCTATAATTGCAATGTTCATAATCACACAGCCCGTGGCCAGGAAAGAAGTTCCAGAACTCAATTCCATGCCAAGCATCATTAAAGTAGTAAGTTAATTGTCTTGTGCTTGAAATAAAGAAATATCTCTAGTTCAAAGATGTTAACATTAAAAACAAAATATAATAATTCTATTTGTTAACACAATAGACAATATTTTTATTTGATCAATCATCTGTGACAGTATATTATATCATGGAGAATAGACCATATGGTGGTCAATTGTCAGTGGTTAGGTGCAATCTATAGGCAAGCATGTTTTTTGATAACCTTTTTTCTCAGCTTGTGTGCATCACAGGGAAAATCTACGCATACTATGAGAAAGACATATTACTAAGATGCGCAAAATCCCTTTAAAAATAAAATAGGCGCAAAAATAAGTACAAAACATGAATTAAAAATTTAAAAAATATTATGGGCCTTATGGATTGACGATTGCCTTGCTGGTAATAAAATAACAATGATTCATAAACAGAATATCAAAACAAATGGAAGACTGCTACACAATCATCACATGTTTTATTAACAGCAAGGGGTAAAAATAAAGAAGTCTGTACATTACATATTTTTGGTCAAGTTTTAGACCACTGGACGACCTCTAGTTAATATAAATACACATTGATTTTTTTACATCCTCTTATTGGTTTTTTTTGGAGAGCCATTATATTATAGATTAAGGGTGTTTGGACGTAAATTTTCATGTCTGATTTTTAGCGAATTTCCCATATAGGGAATAAGCTATTACCGTAGTACTCATGGTAAGACCTGGACCCGGGACCGATTTAATTTTTCATTTTGAGGTCCCTAGAGGCCAAAAACACCATCCGTTCAAATATATATATATGTGTCCGTTAGCGCGATAACTCGAGCAAAAATGATCCGATTTTGATGAAATTTGGTACAAACGTGTAAACCTACGTTTATTCGAACGAGTTCGCGATCCAGCATAATCGGACCATGGGAACGGGGGTTTGTGGGGGGTTTTATGGGGTAAAAATGGGTTTTTCCCATTTTTGACCCTAAAAACAAAAAATGTTGCAATTTCTTTCTAAACCGTTTTGTAGAGCTTAAAAAAGGAAATAATTTAGTATATTGAAGCGCTGTTGTATGCCTAACGGTCACGGAGAAAATTCAAAAATAGTGTAATTTAAAATTCCCATGTTATTCTTATGGAGAAAATGAAAATTGTTGTAGTTTACTTGTTTATGGATATATATATATTGATAAAATTTGGCAAATTTATTTATTTCATCCTATACTATTGACGTATGGTCAAAAAACACTTTTTACCTTCTCCGTAGCAGCAAACCTAAGCACTCGTTAAATCTAATGTTATTTAAATAGTGAATAAATATGTCTTATTTATGGAAATATTTTAGTAAAAATGTAATCAGACAAGTTGAAATTCGCTTAGTCTGCAGGTTTGCTGCGGCGGGGGTATTTTGTTATGGTTCAATTTTACTAAAAATTAGAGATACAAATATATAAGAAAAAACTTTTTATTTTAAATATTAAGCGAGATATGGAGCTTGAAAGTAGTAAATTTTTCATCTTTGGTACCAATTCACAGGGAGAATGAGTAATGCGATTCTCACCAAAATTTGCATTCAGGTGTGGAAAAATAAGATAATAATCACTAGCTATTTTTTTTTATTAAAAAAAATTTTTAACAAAAAATAGCTGTTTGTTTTTGGGGAAAATTTATCTGTATGTTGGAATTTAAAAAATGTTGATATGTTAACTCGTTTGGGCTGTGAATTCGTACCTTTGATGCCTTGCGCTGTCGGAGCACTACTCGTTCAGAGTTTGTACACTAACACCTTTAGAATACTTCAACATCACGTAATTATTAACATATTTTAACATTGAAAGAATACCTTTATCGTTGTATTCTAAAGCCCCGGTGTAACATACAGATCAATTTTCCCCAAAAACAAACAGCTATTTAAAAAAAAAAATTTATAAAAAATAAAATTTAAAAAACTTTTTAAAATTTTTAGTTTTAAATAGTTAGTGATTACTATCTTATTTTTCCACACCTGAATGCAAATTTTGGTGAGAATCGCATTACCCATTCTCCCTGTGAACTGGTACCAAAGATGAAAAATTTACTACTTTCAAGCTCCATATCTCGCTTGATATTCAAAATAAATAATTTTGTCTTATATATTTGTATCTCTAATTTTTAGTACAATTGAACAATAACAACAAATAAGACATCAAATTTTTGACCAAACACCCTTAAGTATATAATTTCTTTGTTGACTCAATTTTTAATTATATTATGTTTTTTAAGTATGTAGGCCTAGGTCTAGACAGAGGTATAATTGAAATAACCTTAGTTTGTTGTTATAAGTCATGATAAAATTAATGATAAATCGACAGAAAGACTTTTTTATGTATACTCTGCTATTAGAATACAGCTGGACTTGAGTAGCAAATACTGGTGTTTCGTCTTTTCCTGTTTAAAAAACTATTTCCGTTGTTCAAAAGATCAGACTATTTACTTTTATTTTTTAAGACTTTTATATTTTGTATATTTCTTAGTTTCGACGCCAGTGGCATTTTTAGACATGGAACTTTTTCCCACTGCCAACGTTGGGAAAGGCCCTGCCTGGAGGCCCAACAGGGTAGGACTGCTGTCGGTGCACACGGTCATACCGATGATGATGGAGGGTGAGGACAATTGGACCTGTGTGTCACATTACATCCAGGGTATTCTCCGGGCCAAGAAGCTCGACCTTGACCGGGATGCGATGTAGTGTGTAGGTTATTAAGAATCTAAGCGAGCCCTGAGGGCTTAGGTCACATGTTGGCCTGACTTTAAGTAATATGACAAACAATTCCAGGTCTGTGTCCAACAGAGTAGAAGGGATTTTTAGTGAGTAGTCTGATAAATTCAGGAGTCTCACACTAGGCTGTTTACCTGTGTGCATTTTTAGAACAGAGACTGCGGTGTGTACTGAAATAACAATTTTAGGGAAAGTGGTCTAAAACCAAAATTTTATGTAAATTAAGTCAAGAATCACAATATTAAGTATTTAGTATAATGTGTTTAAAAGACACTAATTTAGTTTTATACATTTTGATTTGAGAACTTATATTTAAGTCTTTTATACATCTCTATTATTATACCGGTACTTGAAATAAGTTATAATATATAATTCAAAATTAAGAGTGTAAAGGCTGTTCAGTTAAAAAATATTTACTGCAATGCCGACGAATTAATGTTTCACTCCCTCATTCTCAAAACTATATTTTAAACTAACTTAGAACGCTATTTGTGTTTCCCTTCTAGAAACAATCATGTTAGATTGAGATTACTTGACCAACCCTATATTTAATTAATTTCAAGTCTTTTATAGACTCCTTTTCTTCCTCTTTTTGTTAATGATGGGAAAGTACAATAATCACACAAGAATTCAAAGCTTACAGATACATTTAATATTTACATAACCCTTTAAGGCTAAATATTTGTTACTATGCTAAAGAAGCCATTATGGTAAAAAAAATAACTTCTTGTTTTACACCATTCAATTATGGTAATAGGTCTAAATATTACTTAGTATTTTACAATAATCATGGACAAAAATATTTATATGCTAACTAAAATCATTTCATACACTATACAACCTTTCCAACACAAAACTTTTTAATCCAAATGTTTATCATCACTGTTAAAAGTCAATGAGTAAGCATCCTTCAAAGACATTCCCAAGAATAACAATCTCACTTAAGCCATCCATTGTCTACAGGATATAGATATTGCCAACACTATGATCGTAAGAGACGATACATTCAGAACTCCAGAGTTGCAATAGCTCTGGATGTTGACCAGAGGCAGGTTGATTCTACTCAGCTGTTTGTGAACTCCACGGATCTGTAAAATATAAAAAATAGATTAAATCTTTTGTAGAATCATAGTTCTCTCTAAAACAAGGCTGCGGCGAGACAAAAGTGGCAATACCGCTGCCCCGTCAAACCAGAACAGCTGTTGCATCAATTTATAATGGAGAGTATAGAAAATATTTATGTTTACACTTTTGTTATTTCTGTTGTTACTATGGCAATAGCTATGACGTTGCGATGAACTTGTGTTAGAGGAGACTATGGTAGAATAGCTTCAATAGAAGCTATGTGATACCAATTTTAAAATCGGGCGACAGGGATAACGTAAAGAACTACAGACCTATTGTGATACAGTCAACGATAGCAAAGGTTTTTGAAAGCATTGTCTTGGATTACCTTCAGTTTAATCTTAGTGCCCAGATTGAACCTGAACAACATGGTTTCTTCCAGGGACGCTCTACAGTTACCAATCTTATCCATCTACAGGAGTACATAATGACTGCATTTCTTGAGACCAGATCGGTTGACTGTGTATACCTAGATTTTGCCAAAGCGTTTGACAGAGTCGACCATCGAATCTTGTTGGCTAAACTTCATGGCTTTGGTGTCTGCGGTCCGTTACTTCAATGGTTAGCAAGCTATCTCAAGGGAAGATATCTCATTGTAAAATATGAGAACTCATCCTCTTTGCCTTTTCCTGTGCTTTCTGGTGTCTCTCAAGGTTCGCATTTGGGCCCGCTACTGTTTTGTATTTTTATCAACGACATTGTAGACTTCATTGAGACAGATTTCTTAATGTTTGCTGATGACATTAAAGTTTTCTGCAAGATCTCGTCATCCGTGGACCAGTCTTCTTCAGCATACTCTCCAAAGAATAACTAGTTGGTGCAAGATCAATTCCATGGAATTAAATGTCACTAAGTGCCAGGTTATAACTTACACTAGGAGCCATGAGGTGAGCTACTTTGACTACCAACTGTATGGTGTTAATCTGAAGCGAGTGCACAATGTGAAAGACGTTGGTCTTATTATGTCCCCCAATCTTAGCCCACAGGATCACATCAACCACTGTGTGTCAAGAGCTAGGGCACTCCTGGGGTTTATCCAAAGATCTACCAGGGACTTCCACAACATCTCTGCTCTGATCACACTGTACAAATCTCTAGTTCGAACTATCCTCGAATACGGGTCCGTCATTTGGTCCCCATACCAAGTTGGCCATATTTCCGCCCTCGGCAGTGTTCAAGTTCGTCTAGTCAGGCTAATTGGATTGAAGCTAGGGTATCCATATCTTCAAACTCCTGTTTCAATGTTGGAGACTCTATTTGATCTGCAACCTCTTAAGCACAGACGTAAAGTGTTGGATCTCACCTTCCTTTTTAAGTTGTTGAATGGTTACATTGATAGCCCGGCTCTGCTTGAGAAGATTGATATCAAGGTCCCCATAGGAACTCGATCCAGGTCAGCTCTCAGGAGAAAATACATGCCCGTGTACTATGCCTACAACAGTGGTATATCCAGACTTCTTCGGATTGGCGGGGACACAGCAACACTAGTAAATTTTTTGGAACATCTGTCTCCAAATTCAGAAGAGAAATAGATAAAATGGAAATCCTGTAATAGCTCATTTATGTATTTTTATTTTTTTTACTCTCTCTATTCCTATTCTTCTTTGCATTACCTTCATTTGCATTCATTGTCTCACCCTGCCATTGCATTACTTGTTCAAATGTTTGTTTGTATAACTTTTGTTTGTGTAGTTGCATATTTGATTTTATATCTATTTGTATTGTCTCATTATATTAGTAGCATGTAACTTGATGATTGGAACTTATTATTGTCTCATGAATTTGTTGAGTCTGTATTTAATGTATTTACTAAGAGCATTTTCATCATCTTTCGGCATCATTGTACTTGCATGTTAACGGATTATTAAGCTGCAAAATCTTTATTGTAAATAGATTATAGTTGCAATTTTGTTATCAATTGATTGTATATTATTGTTTGTTATTTATTTAAAATCTAGCTGTCTTGATTGTTATCATTACTTACATTGTAAAAAATGGTGGAACCGTTGATAATAAATAAATTAATTAAATTAATAAATTAATCTTTTTCTATCACTATATAACCTTGAGATTGGCATACAACTATACTTTTAACTCCGAACTTGAGTAAAGGGTGGGTGTAGAATGGAGTGAGATAATTTCTGCCACGTAGATCAAAACCAGCTGTTTCCTTTTTTAACAGGGCTATTTATGTATTGAAAGACCTTAATGATCACAAACAGCTGGGTCAAGTCATAAGTTCAGAAACAGCTTCTATGTAGAGAATAGAAATTTAACATAAGCATATACTCAACACGAGCCTCACGAGAAGACCTTTTTTTAATAAAATCTGGCTGCATCTATTTCATATAGGTGAGATATCTTCTTTGGTATTGAAAATTAAAATACGTTGGACCTTTTATGAATAAGATTAACCATTTCAATGGCAACTGCCGAAATATTAGACACAAGACAAACTAAGTCAAACTTCAAAGTACAACACACCAATAGGATTATAACTTGACAAAAACAGCTCTAAGCTGTACCGGGTAGCAGACATGTCTTTCAACCTGGATGGAAGTCATGATCAAAACTACTTTGGTTGGGCCATTGGTTGACCAATCTTGTTAGTTCGGTCACAAAGACGTAAGGTGCAGAGGAAACATGTCCATGGGACAGCCACGTGCTTTCAGCTCTGGTATGTTGTGCCAGAAATATACAAGTGACGAGTAAGGAAGAGCCCTAACGGTGAGAACTGTTCAGAAAATTCCTATTGGACAGGGCACAGGATCTTCCTCCGCCTCCACCGTAAGCGTTGTAGTACTATGGCCAAGGGGGGGCGGTGTTGGACTTTGCCCCAGACACCACTTAAGTGTAACATTGAAGGTTTCCTCTGTACCTTACTTCTCTGTGGTGCAGTAAACTGTTAAATTCGGATCAATGGCCAAAGCAATCAATGACCTTAGATTACTTTTGTTGTTGCTTGTGTTCTTGAGGAGGTTTGTTTCACCCTATGCATTTCACCAACTTGTGTGGCATCTTCAGGTGTCTATTTAGAATAATATTTACACACAAGAGGTCACCAGTATCCTGGTTGGTTTGATTAGACACACGACAGGAGGTCTGTAGTTGGAGGGTGGACTCCGCCGCCATCGTTTGTCTGATCAACCCGACAGAGAAGATAAAGAGTTAAACATAATGATGTATAACATATTGCGTATTAAAAAATAAAATAAACTACAGTATGGAGCTATTGTGGAATTTTCTATTATTCCTTGAAAAGTGTAGTGTGTACTATTTAAAAAATTTCAATGTTGTGTTTATAAATATAGTGCTGTCTAGTGACGTTAGTTTATTACCTCTTCTTGACTGAGATAGTTCCGTGCCAGGATGACGCTGAAGTGCTTCTCCTGTGGAGAGCAGAATGTCAACACCAGATGTGACTGGACAGCCTTCATCACTTGCACTGTGCCAGAGAAGTGGTTGTAACTGCTGTCCACCAATGTCCCTAAAACAAACCAAACAGTTTGGATTATTTATGATTAACACTTTTTATCTGCTACATCGAGATGAAGATTATCATACAAGAAAGGGCTCGTGTTTACTTTTTGGCGCCAACCACATCAGTAGGGATGAACATCGATAACCGATGTTTTTCTATCGATGATTCATGTTTTTTATTAGGTTACCGTACCCATGTTTTTGTTGAACATTGATGTTTTGGCCAACAAACTAAATATCCATACACGACCATGCAAATTACTTTTGTTTGTGTAAATAACCAAATTGTGAGAAAAAGACGTAGCTACAGTACCGTATTTCCAAAGGTTATAGTCATTCATTTGTATTGTAATCAAAAGGGTTAATTATCTCTAATTATCATTTGGACTTAATTTTAAAATTATCTACGAACACTATTACATTATTGCTACCAGCAAAATAATATTTTAGTTTTTTTTTTAGAAAGGTAACATCTTGCTGTATTATGTCTGCCATTCTTACCATGTTATAGATACAGGTAAAATTTGACAGCCCTTTGATGAAGTCATTATTTTGGTCCTGTTCTTGGATCGAATAATCTGAATAAATTTGTTAATAGATAAACTAAAATTGAATAAATAGAATATGTCTAAGGTTTAGCATTTTGAAGTGATGCATCCTTTTAAAAGTTAGTCAACATGATACCAAGTTATACTTATGGTATGAATTATAAAAGTTAAATAATTTCCAAATGACTAATTGAAACAGGCAAGCATTCTTTAACATTTAACTCAAAGTCATTGATCAAGTAGAAAAGAAGTACGAAGACTCCTATAAGGTATCTACCAGTTTGCCATTCATTGGACAGCCAGAATCCTGGATTGTTAATGTTTGTCATTCGGAACTCAAACTGAATGTAGCCTCCTTCTTCATTCCACAACATTCGGACCTACCAAGCAAAACATGTATGATCATTTTCAGTAAGTTAGCATAAATCTTAAACAAGTCACCAGAAATTTTCTTCGACTGTGAAACGTGCAGTCAAGCAAAAACTTTGCATGATTCTACGCAATGTAGAGACATAATTGTAGTTTTATTTATATATTATGTTGGCACTGTAAATTCTGAAGGTAGTGAGGGACAAACACATTTATAATCCACCTTGAAAAAACATTTTAGCTACAATACCGTACTCAGCTATTAGCCATGGATAATCTGCCCAAAGCATTACAGTATCACACGTGTAAAATGAGAGAGTGTAATCTTCAACAAGTTCCAGTTAGATGTACTAAATAGTTTATTTATCTATACCTACTATATGAGAAACGCTTGTGCACAATAATTTTAAAAATGGCTCCTATGATTTCCTCCAAATTGTTAGAAATATTTTAGTTTTAGGCTAAAAACAATATCCATGCTAGGCTCTGTTCTGGGATAATTTGTTTTTTGTTAAAAACTTAAAATTAAATTTTAATATTTTTAACATTAGTCTTATAGACTGTCAAGTAGCTAAGGCAGTTCTACAAAAATGTAAACAAATGAGTGTAAACAAATGCTTGTAACAAATCATCTACAGTACAGTAGCAAATTGCAAAATGGAAAGGGACATTCCTAAGAATGATACTGAGCATTGATTTGATTATATAATGCCTTTGGGGTGTATGATGTATTACTAACAAAAGAGATAATTAGGATAGCCTATTGTTCAAAAACGTAAGATCCTTTACCGCTAAACATTATACGCTAATATTGAGCTAAAAGTCTGGAGGAAAGTCCAAGGACGTTTTGTTGTTTTCAATGATGCACCCTTGGAAGTGATGCGTTGTTCCCCGATCCCGTAATTAGTAGTTGCGACGTTCCGCAATCCCAGTGACTAACGCAATAACAGTCAACAGATATTAAGTATCATGAATTTTGATTGAAGTTTTTTGTAGAAATTTTCAAGATACCGTAGATCGCTCGTCCTCGCGAAAAAGTTTTTTTAGGTAAATTAAGAATGAGTGAATTTCTACCAAAAAAGAATTGACTTAACTTAATTAAACCCCAAGAGGTCCCCTGGTACTTTATTTTAAATCTTAAAGTGATACATTACCGTTCTTAATTCGTCATCCTTTTGCGCAAAGTGAACCCTAGGACAAGACTCGGATCCAGCCACCGTACGGAGGTAGTTGCGACGATCTGTGTATCTCTCACTGTGCTCAATCACTTCTACCACCTTCCACAGACCTAGAATCTGAAAACACCAAGATTATGAAAAACAAAATTAAGTTGTTCTATTGATACATTGAGATTTTATATTATTTTGAAAACATATTCAACTTTCTAGTCAACAGATTCTAATTTGACAAGGATTAGTTTTCTAAAAGTTGACATGTCAACCAAACATATGCAACAATATTAACCCTAAAATATTGTTGAATTTAATTTGTAAAGATTTCCAGGCTTTAAATTGTTCCAGGCTTTAAAATGTCAAGAAGACTTAAGCTGGGTTTTCTTGGGCGTTAGAGCAAACAGCGAAACACAGATACGGTTCTCTTCTGTCTAAGTAATTTTAATGGTACTGTTTGCCAATTCCATGAGTATGTGTTCCGGGGATGAGCTCATTTAGTTTATTCATGTAGGCTATTATATGGAATCTAATAGAAAAAGAATATGAGAATAAATTTAAAAAAGTTGAATCTAAGTTTGTCATCAATTAGATTAAGAAGAATGTTAAGCATGCTCTCATTTTCAGACGCTTTAAAAAGTACCCTCAAAACTTTTGGATGCTTCACCATATGCAGTTGTAACAAATATTCCTATTTATTTCTCAATTTTTCTTCCTCCCCCTCTTCCATGTGTAACAAAAAAGAGAATCTGTATTCCATATCCATATTGAGTGATTTTACCTTATTCTCAATGCCCCCAGTATACACATTATAAATTAGCAATCAATCAGCTCTCTGCAAGTGGACAAGTTTGCATCTTGAAAACACATTTCCGTTAGCTGGTGATTCACTTGCAGAGAGCTGACTCCGTTCTCCACATTCCGCTTCTCACTTCCGAACCAAAGAAAACCCAACTTCAACCTTTTTACGCTGTTACAACGGTATTTTGCTACCAATTGTTCGGTACTTATAGAAGATCATTCTTAGAGATGCATTACAAACAATAAAAACATATGTAATTAAATATGTACAACTGAATGTAAAAGCCAATACAGAACAAAGCCATATGATAGATGGATCATTCGTTACGGTATCCTAGAGACAGAGGAAGGTATAACACAGTACCGGTATAGCAGTTCTAGGTGCTTACAATCAATATGTTTTTAGAATTACGTATATTTACAGCAAACGATTATACAAGACTTAAGGTACATTTATTAGGCCCATATCTAAAAATATGATGAGAATGTTAATGAGAAACTGAAAAGGGTGGATTATTTGACTCTGATTACCTCATAGAAGTCAATATTAGACTGAGGTTGAGTGCATATTGTTGTGAAATTCCTTGCGAGTGCAAATCTGGTTCTTTGACCTCCTCTAGCTCCCTCAGTGTTTTGTGCTGTTACACAAGCAGCTAGGAACCCAAGCAGAAAGCCAATCTTTGTGTTCATCATCATAGTGCTGCCTATAAAGTGTTCATATTTAGCATTCAGTTTTAATACCAAGAATAAAGTTGGTGTTTTTTTCATTTGTCATTTGTATGTTTTTCATTTATTGATTTAAATTTGACTAAAAAGGTACTAACACATGTTGCCAAAGTGGAATATGGTTTGTCATGTATGTTGTGTCATGGGTTGCTTTTAGTTTTACAGCAAAGATTTTACCAGTCCACAGTCATATTGTGAAACTCTTGAAAGAGAATGTCAAGCATTCATGCCATAAATAGAATTCATTAGTGATGTTGTGGTTTCAGGTGACAAAATGGCTAATTGGCTAGCGTAATGAGAAAATATCCAAGTGCATATATTGTGCTCAGCAAGATCAGGGTCGTCTACCTGATCAACATAGATGATACGCTGATGGCCAGCTTCTACGCAGTTTGCCAAGTTTGCAGTTGTAAAATTGTGCCGATTGTGACCCTTGTGATGGTAGGCACTCACGGAAATGACACATATTGAGAAAAGAAATATGGAAACCATCATGGTCTGGGTCTTCCAAAATATTAGTGTTACTAGAAGAAAACAAATTAGTACACACAAAGATATACGCATATTAAAGTCTTTGAAGCACCAAATGCCTTGAGGACAAGAATGAAATAATTGCAATGCTCATTAACCAGAAGGTAAAGGAGCCTAATTTAAAATTTGTTGTTTAACTTGATAAAATGTGTGTACTATGTACCTATCTCAAGACTCGTTTAAAACAAATAAATGTTTGAGTGATGCGAATCAACTTGTGCTGAATTAGCGATGCTATGATTCAACATGATTCAAGTGCGTTGCATTGTCCAACAAGATAGTTAACTGTGACTGTACCTCGAGAAAGTCGATGGCACGTTGGTGGCCAGTCTCCACGCAATTGTCAAGGACTCTATTGCGATACTTTATCGGATATGGTGTAGTGTAAGCACTCACAGAAAAAATGCTAACAAATATAGTCAATATGCTGATGCTCATCAGGATCTGGTACATTATATAGACTACCTTCAATAAACATAAAACATACTGTTAATGTTTGGAACTATGTACTTCCATTGCAGTTAAGTAACAATGCATACAGCCAAAAAATTGTTTAACATATTTTTTTCATAATAAAAATAAGACTTAGTTGATTTCACAAAAGCGAGAAAAGTAGAAGTGATGTTCCACAATGAGTTGAAGAATGAGTTAGAACAATGTGTTATAAATATATGTATTATCTTTTTACTATAGAATTAATTACAAGGTACACCTAGTGAAACTGGTCGTGATTTCTCACTTACAGATAATCTTTTACCCCATTTAACAATTTTAATTAACCCAATGATTTCTGGATGGTAGGATTTTCATGACTAGAATTGCATACAATAACTTTAAATTACATTACTTGACAAGTTTTTGAAGGAGACTATCTGTTAATATTTCATACTTCCAAGAAACCTAGCAAAAATCTCTGAGGCGAGAGGTGTTTATATTTTATGGAAGTTTTTAAAGAATTTACGACTAAAAAGCTTTTAAAATCAGTCTCTATAAGATTATATACAATTTTCTGTTTTTTCCCAGTCATATTTAGAAAATAAACCATAGAACCTGAAGATAAGGACGAAGAAAAATTATGATACTTTACTGTCAATAAACATATTGGTTAGAAATTAAGACAAATATTAGAACGATTTAAAAAAATATCATGTAAAATGTATTATATATTTAAACATTAAGATGAAAACTGGAACCAATTTTTAAGTTGCAACCTTAAATAGAAACTGAGCTATAAGACAGATAGGTTAAGGGTTAACTGGTGTTTGGTAAATAACACTCTTGAATCATAATCAAAAGTGGCACACAAAAAATATGAATATTTAGACCCAGAGGTACAATGATTGGTGTTTCTTGCTATCTCAAACCTAGATGAAAAATCATTAACTGTGTCTAGGAAGTGTCTGCATGTTTTTATGTACCCTGTATAGCAGTAAAAAATCAATCTAAATTGTTTCTTCTGTTAGGAAAAAATAGTTTAAGTTTCACAAAAGAAGTTGCAAAATCCTCAACAGACCTAATTCGTACCACGACCTACTGATTTTCTATAACTCAACCATTAAAAAAGAACAAAAATACTTGATATATAACTAGTAAAATTTATACTTTTTATAGTATGAAATACCCTACTGATAGTATAGTCTAATACTTTATAGTTGTGTCCTTTGTAATACCAAAGTGGTAAATTGGACTTCAATTTAAATAATCGTGGTAATTGTTTTTGTTTAACTGTACACAATTCAATAGTAATCACATGGGAGACAAAGTAATGGTAAAATAATTCCAACACTAGCTTCCAAAAGAAAAAAAAAAATGTATCAGATCCGAGGCAGAAAGTTACCAAAGTGTAGACTCCAAGACCACTCAAAAACCACACACACGAGATGCTCACCGACTCACTAACTGAATCAGTAGTACAAGGGACCACCAAAACTCGATGAGGGAGGAAAATACAAATGAAGACAAGACGTAGATCTGAATGAGAAGTTTAATGAGCACTGTGGGAGTCAATTGAGCCTATTACTCATGGGCAACTTCCTTCCCACTTATACCACTTGGCTGGCCGAAACTACCTTAGTATCTTTATTCTAATGAAGATTGGAACTGAAATTAAATTTAAGTATTAAATACTATTGCTACCAATAGGTGGTGAATCTGTTTCCTGTGCCATGGTAAGGCTTTAGTTATAGCAAGGAAGTGTATACACTCTTTGGAAGTGTATACGGTGTGTTCCATTTCCAGTTTATTCAAGTTATAGAACATTGACGATGCAGTGATGAGGAAAAGTAATTTAATAATCATGTACGTCTTTAAACATTGGAAAATTGTTAACAAACCAGCTTTTATAAGTTTAATGGCATTAATAAATTCTTATTTAGTCTTTACAAGGATTTTTTTACTTTTTTTGTCATTGAAAATATTTAATTTTATGAATAAAAATCCTTTGATTTTCCTGAAAACTCATTCTGGATGTGCCAATACCTAAGCAAACAAATAAAGCTTTTATTTAAGTTTTCTCCCATACAAATAATATGCAGTACAACTGGGGAGCGAGCTGATCTACTAGTAGATGGCGGAGCTTTGGTTCTTGAGGTCCTGGGTTCAAACACTACCAATCACCAACAAATTTATTTATTTAAGGGATAATGCTGCAACGTTGAGGACTAGTGTGAAGAAATTTGAAAACCCGTCCTGGACTAGAACCAAGCATCCTAGATTGTAAAGGCGGGACTTAATATGCTGTACAACATGCTCTCCTGTGTATCAACCAGTATACAAAGTTTTGCACACAATAACAAATCTTTGGGTAGAACAGATCTTTTGAAGCGATAGGTAGCTTGGTAGCTGGAAACAAGCTTGATTGTTGATACAAATGATCATATGAGTGACTTTCAAACTATTTTACATGTGTTGTGTTAAGGCATTGTATATAAATTTTTGGAACTGGCTTCGAGCAGGTCTAGCAAGTTGAAGGAAGGAGTGAGAAGTAATCGAAAAGCTCACCCATTGAGGCGAGAAGCTGACAATTAAGAGTAGAGGGACCATGCAGCCCATCTCCGGTCTCCACAGTACCTCAATTACGACTAATTTGCACGAAGCTCGTCTTAGAACAATGAACAGCACAGTATTTGTAACAGTTGGTGAAACACTGTTATGCTACAGGAGTAACCAGCCTACATCTGAAATGCCAATGTTATTCTTATGAAGAAAGAGTAAACTGTGTTGTAGTCCCTGTAGCAGCAAACATGAGAACTTCTTAAACCTATCCTTATATATAATACGTGAAGGTGATTTCTACAAAACACTACTCCTCCGTTAATAGTGGACAGATTTTTACAAACGTTGTCTCAAAATTAAGTATTTTTTGTGTAGACGCCCCCTTTCACCAATTTCTGCAATAAAAGTCCTCGGGCTTTGCCACACAGGCCATCAAAATCCAAATGTATTTCTTATGAAGATAAGATTATGTTTACTTAAACAGACGAATAATTTGTAATAATTACAGCTGTTCGTAGTAAATACATGATACAAACAAGAGCGTTCGTTTTCCGTTTGGATAACTGGAGTGGAGTGAGCGTTCGTTATCAGAATGAGTTCAGTTCGTTCATAGTTTTGGTAACTATGGTGTGGATTAATTGATTATTTATCTTTGAGTTGACTCTTTTAAGTCATCGAAAATTATAACTGTTATTCGTTTTGAAATAACGCCTGCAACATTTTGCAACAGATGCACTAGTCTTCTATATTACGCTACATGAAACTTTGTGAACAATAAGGCTTTTTTGTTTTAAGATTTAACCCCACATATTATATACCAAAATGTCCGTCTAGGTGTGTAGATTTGCAAACTGACATTACATTTTTTTAAATTCCCTTAGGCTCTGCCCCAGTGGCTTTTAAAGTTCCCATGTTATCTTTATGAAGAACATATTTGTTTACATTATGATCAGCTGGATAATTTAATTGCTGTTAGTATTTTAGTTGCAATTTAAGGAAATGTGAACTATACTACAACTAAAATCCTTATATATAATACGTGAAGGCAATTTCTACGAAACACTACTCCTCCGTTAATAGTGGACTGATTTTTACAAACGACGTGTCAAGATAAAGTATTTTTTGTCTAGACGCCCCCTTTCACCAATTCATGTAATAAAAATCCTCGGGCTTTTCCCCACAGGCCATCAAAGTTGGTGTTTCTCCCTTAAGATTAACATGGGGGAATCTAAATATTTAATTGGAAACTTTGTCCCCACTAATTTGAGAGAACGGTTGGGCGTAGAAACTTGGTAGAGGTGCCCAAAGAAAGGTCTTGGTCTGTAGATGAGTTATCAAAAGAAAAACTAAGCAAAATCCCTTAGGATTCTGCCCCAGAAACCTTTAAAGATCCCTCCACAGAGTTGTTTACATTTTGGCCATGAATAATACTTTTTAATGAAACAGCTGTTCATTTTTAAATTGTATTTCAAACAACATATACTTATTGGAAGTTACTGAATTTTACCAAATAAGTATTTGCAATGTTATTTTCTGATTTTAAAATTGATTTTCTTCTTTATCATGTTATGTTTTGCAATAATTGTATTTCATTGACACATCATAAGCATTTAATATACGACTCCAACGGAAGGAAAACAAAGATATAAAACAAAAAACAGTGTTAATTTTAAGTAACATAAAATTGATGATTTTAAAAACATAGGCCTATTTAGAATATTTGTCATTTTATATATGGTTTTTTTTTACTGTCGTCTAAATTAGGGGCTATAGGCCACTAGTGGTTTAAATTACCTGTCCGTCAGTGATCTTACAGTGATTATACTGACTTGATTAAAATTAAATATTTACTATTATATTAGAATTTGGGTTGGCAAAAATATTACCATGAAAAAAAAGGGAGAAAGTCTGGACAATTTGATATACTAAATACCCCTGCCGCAGCAAACTTGCAGACTTAGCGAATTTCCATTTGCCCGATTGGATTTATACTAAAATATCTCCTTAAAAATATCATATTTATTCCCTATTTAATTAACATTAGTTTAACTTAGGTTTGCTGCAACAGGGAGGGTAGAAAGGGTTTTTTTTTAAATGTTAATAGTTTAGTGTGAAATGAATGCATTTTCCAAATTCGATCAAAATGTTCATAAACAAATAAACTACAACAGTTTACTTATTCTCCATAAGAATAACATGGGAATTTTAAATTTACCGTTTTTTTGGAATTTTTTCTGTAACCATTAGGCGCATAATAACGCTTCAATATACTAAATTATTTGTTTTTTAAAGCTCTACAAAATGGTTTGGAAAGAAATTGCTAAATTTTAAGTTTTTAGGGTCAAAAATGGGAAAAACCAATTTTTATCCTATAAAACCCCCATAAACCCTTGTTCCCATAGTCCGATCATGCTGGTTCGCGAACTCGTTTGAATAAACGTAAGTTTACACATTTGTACCAAATTTCATCAAAATCAGGTGATTTTTGCTTGAGTTATCGTGCTAACTGACACATATATAAATATATATATATGAATTTGAACGGATGGTGTTTTTGGCCTCTGGGGACCTCAAAACGAAAAAGTAAATCGTTCCCGGGTCCAGGTCTTACTATGCGTACTACGGTAATAGCTTATTCCCTATATGGGAAATTCGCTGAAAGAAAACTCAATTAACACTGTACTGCATTTCTTGAGCAATCATTGAAAGAGCCAATTTGTAAACTATAGAAACATATGAAAGTCATAGAACACCACCAAGTAGAAGAAATGGAAATAATGTTTTATTTTTTAGACTTTATAATCGTTATTACGGACAAATTAATGCGGCTATGAGTGGGAAACATTTGTAGAAAACACTAAAAAACAAGATCAGCTTTTGAAAAATGATAAGATATTTACAAAAATGTTGATTATATCAAACTGTTATGTACATTGTGAGTATTTCCATAATCTTGAGTCGACTATTTTAAAGGAGTCGGAAACTATGACTGTTATTTGTTTTAAAATAATGCCTGTAATTCTTCGCAATTGCTCGAATTCGAGCAACAGGTACACTAGTGTTATTTAAATATGGGATAAATCTGACATAATTAGGGACAGCAAAAATCCAATCGGACAGAATTCACTTTAATTCCTTGTCTGCAGGTTTTTTCCATCGGGGGTTGTGATATTGGTCACATATGTTTAATAGTCTTTATTTTATTGTCTTGTTGAAAGCATATTGCTTATGTTTTTTCTAGTAATGATTTGAGTTAGTGTTGAGGTAGCATGAAGGTTAAAATGTTCTTTCTTTAACTAGTTTGTTTTAATTTTGTGATTATACTACACTGGCGACGAGGATGTCTAGAAGGATTCAGAAGAATGATAGGGTAGTTTGATGAAGAGTCTCGCAGTGAGTGGGAGAAGAAAATGGAGAAGTTTGTCTTTGAGAAATTCAAATGTGAAGAAACAGCAGAAGAGTATGTTGAACATTTTCAACGTGAACGGGTGAAAGGGTTGGGGGGTTCAGATGAGCATAGTAAGGAAGCAAGAAAAGACTTACTACTTGACTGGCTTATGTGGGAGGTGAACCACTTCAGAAGATGCAAAATTATTTCATCCCAAAGAACCTTTGATTCTTGTTCATATGAAGAAATTAAGACTGCATTCTTTACACTTTATGGTCCAAACCAAACTATTTTTGCTGCCCGTTTTGAGTTTGAAAGAGCTGTTAGGAATGAAAGTGAGTCCTTCACAGAATATTTCACCCGGTTAAAGAAATTAAGCAAACACTGTCGGTATGGTCAAGGCTTGGATGAACGGATCCGGGATCGTTTCATAGCAGGGGTATTCAATGAACAATTTGAAGTGGAAGTAAGGCATCGTTGGCCGGATAGTGTAGAGACTGGTGGCAGCGTAGTCAGGGCAGAGAGTGTTCCAGCTGGCCAGGTCGATGGAGCGTGCCAGAAACGAGGTGAGTACCAGTTCTACATCGAGTGTATGTTTTGTTAAGAAGCGACAGTCAACTGGTCAAATGAATAGATGTGAGAACTGCAGATATAGTTGTAAAGCTAGGTAGGCCTACTCACATTGGTTATTTCCACTACAAACGCCTTGCATTTGGCTTAACTGATGCTCCAGCCAAATTTCAGTGTTTCATGGAAAATCTACTCAGAAAAGAATGTAGTTGTGTGAGCCAGAGTCGCAGATTGCACTAGTGTCTAAAACTCTATTTTGTACCTTATTTTTTGTTACGGTACTGACACACCGTAGTTGCCGGGTCACAACAGTTGCTATAGCTCATAATAAAGTAGTTCCATCAGTTTGACTTGGTAAAAACCAGTCATGTAAACGACAGAAATCAGTAATTTAGATCAGCGCAATCTGTAGGTGGCTTTTAAGGAGTTCTTTAACCTATGTTATCACAGTTAAAAATAAAAGTATTATAATGAGAGAAGTACAAAACTGCCTAAAAGTAATGAGCCAATTTAATCCTTGACTTAACAATGAAACGAAAAAAAAACCAGTTCAAGATTGTCATTATCAATATGGGTTAAGCACCAAAAGTTAGCAGTACGGCTATTGTGACAAGCCATTCTCATAACACCGTAAATAATAAAGAGTTGATGCATAGACATTGGTATCAATCAAGAGTAACAAACAACTATAAAATATCTGAATGCCAAAAATAAATGTGGCTTTACAATAAAAATATACAAATTTTTTGTTGTGGAATCATTTTATTCAATGATTTTTTTTTAACAAAGGACACAATACGTATAATTCTTATACACCATGAATTGTAACAAATAATTGAATTCACACAGTTAGGCCTAGTTATTTCAGGCTTTCAGCTAACACAACAATTTAACTGCATAAAAAGTTACAAAAATGCTCTTTTTTAATGGGAATTAATAGTTTGAATCTGAATAGCAGGTGTAATCTAGATGTGAAAGTAGCAAAATATAAGCCGTCATTTTTCATGAGACAAAATGTTAATCAGAAGATTTAATGTACATTGAATAAAAATTCTTGGTTAACTATAGGTACTTATTTATCTGTAAAACACACCATTATTTTTTTCAGTCAATAGAGATTTAATTTCATAATAAGATTTTGTATTTGGAATTATAAATACCTACCTTGAATTTTTAGCTCAGTATTTTGCAATTTGAATAAACATTACAAATAGATTTTTATGGGTTATTTATTGAAATAATATCTATTTTACGTATTTAACATAACTACAAGAATAAATTTTATGTTATAAACAGAATTGTTTATGTTATGAATATAAAATTAATAATGTGACATTTTTTAAGCATGAATGAGACTATAGGCCTACAGTTATGAAGAAGAAAAACTATTATCAAAGCTAGACATCTTAAAGCTGGAAAATTGTTTGGTAATTTTTTTACATACAGTTTCCATTACTTATCATACTAGTGATTTAGGTTTCATGGAAAGCTGTTGATAATTTCAAGATTGGCAGAGCTTTTTAAAAGTATAGCTTACTTATTGAACTGACTGTGTAATGATTAAATATTCTATTTGATTACAGTAGGTACTATAAATGTATGACTATCGTGTGTTACAAAAACTAAATAGAAAAACTATCTGCCTAAAGGTAATAATATAAATTTCCTATCTCCCTAAGTTCAATATTGAAAGTCGTTTTGCTAAATAACTATTTTGTATATAGACTTCTTTTTAATTTAGTTAGAAAAAACAAATTCTGTTTTTGTACCAAACAATATGCTATGGTGGAAGCTCTGAAAATTCACAGTTAAGTTGATGATCGCCATTTGCTTTACCATTGACTAAAGATATACAGTCATCTAACTGTACAACACTTTTATTTGAGAATAAACACTTATTTTAGTACATTATAGTGTTAAATATTAGTGTGTTCAATATTGTGGTTTGAAATAAAATGATAGTACAAAAACATTTATTATTTTCATAAGTTAACATTGATATCCCTGACATAGAGGAAGTTCCCTTGGTCTGAGAGACTTCTTTTTTGTTTCACATTTGGACATACAGCTTAAGGAGGGTTTGGAGCGTACAGGCATAGACAAATAGAATCAAATATAGACTATCAGCCGTGCTGAGGTTACTATAGGTTCTGGCGCACACCGCTGGGAGTGCCATGTAGTTACGTAGCACGTTCGGCGTAACTACATGGCACTCCAAGCGATGTGTGCCAGAACCTATGGTAACCGCAGCACAGCTGACGGTCTATATTTAATTATTTTTGTCTATGGTACAGGTGACAGTATCTATTCAAAGTCAGTAACTTCGCTGATCTTTATCATTGGGATTCTAATCAATAATCCTAAACCATGAAACAGCTGAAGCTTCACATATCATCTCTCCACTCTACAATCACCTTGCATCCATTTCCAGCTGAAAACATGCACTCTTCAAAGAACTGATAACATTGCCAAAAACCAATGATGATTGGCAACATTTTAACCTTATTTCTCAGAACCAACGTCTGGCACTCCAACCGCTACACCAGCTGTATCCCCAATCGGTTGGGAATGTTAATGTATTAGTGATATTGAATATGGTTTTTTGCAAGCTATTGAAAGTAGTAACACTCTCGCTGTTCCTTTATTGAAAAGTGTTGTATGTTTAAATTCTGTTTGTTATTTTTAAAAGGGTTGCCTGATTGTTTGCACCTAACAAATAAAGGAAAATTAACAACTTACACAGAAGTTAGGATTCACTTCTAATAAAATTAAAGTATACAAAATATTTTTATGTAAAAAATAAAATTTAATGGAATGTGAAATATAAACAAATTAAAACCTATGACTAATCTACAATACTAGAACATTACAGTTAAAGAACATACATATAATTAATCTAAGAAACTTTATCTTACATTTTATATTACATAGAAGCTATATTAACATGTATAAACCCTACATAAGGTCATAGTAAAAGAATTTTCAAATAGTTATAGTTACAGCTAAAAAGAGCATTTAAAACACCACGTGACTTATGTAAAAAATATTAGGGACACTTTTTTAGGAGTAAATGATGATGTTAGTTTGTAAATATAACATATTTAATTGATTTAAACATAAAGGTTAATTTTATGACATTAACAGCTTTTTGAAGCAAGTATATTTTTTTAGAATTAGGAGAATAACCACTATAAATATGCTAACAAATTTGCCTTGCTACTTTTCCTTCTTATGTACTTTCATGTTTTCAAAACTAAACACTTGATGCTGCTTGAGTTGAATAATCTTTGGTTACTCCTTTTCCACAGCCCTCATCTGCCTTCATTTAAGCTTGCCACTTTGGTGATACAGGTTTCATTGAATGTGATACCTAACACTATTTACAACAGGATTGCATATCCTTTCTAATACGAGGAACCACAAACTGTTATATTGTGAACATATTTGTTCTATTTACATCCAAAATTTTGATTTCAAGTCTCTTAATATGGACCATTCTATCCAAACTCGTAAAAATCAACCTATATATTACAATTTTAAAATCAACAAAAGTAAAAAATTGTAAAATCTAAACAACATAGCGAACATTAGAAGTCTTTGGGTGACGAATATTTACAAACACAGAGACTAGGAAGTCCTGTTGATCAATAGACGGTGAAACTTGACGTGAAAGTTAATCGAGGTTAGATCAGTCTTGAGAGTAGCAGTAGCGTAGCGGGCAGTACGACCATGGCCGAGGACAACCGCAGAGACGCAGAGTCGGGTTCGGGCGGGTCACGACACGTTAGACGAGTCCCTACCTCAGGCAGTCTGTAGTTCTGCAGACTCCGGTGGATTTCTTGCGTGTCGTGGTGCACGGTGATGTTGCGTACCATCACGATGCTGTAGTGCGTCCTGTTGTTGGTGTTGGAACAGAACGTCAGAACCATTCTGTTTGGCTGCGCATCAATCACTTGCACACTTCCGGCAAACTGTTTGTACGATTTGTTCAGCATTGAACCTGTTGAAATTGAATTTGATTACAATTGTGTTTAATTCTGCGTTTTTAATGACAAAAATTGGGTATGTGAAATACTTTTTCAAGAATATGTGTCGTGTTTTAGTACTAGTTTTTACACACTTCAGACCAAGTATAAAGGCAAAGGATTTATCCTTGTTGCTGTACTTCACGTCCCTTACAAGACAAAGGGGCATAACTACATGGGCTTATCATATGAACTTACGCCCCTTCCCCCTTCCTCTTGCAAGTGTCGATAATATGCTCTAACCAGTGTGAAGCACAGAATCAGAGTAGACTCAGAAAATTGTGGTTCCTTTAACATCTTAACCCTTAAGCAGAAGTGGGTACTCTCGGCTCCAGTCCAGTATTCACTTTTGTTTCACTTTTCTTCCCTACAGCTCCAACAAAGCTGTCCTATAGTAGCAAACAGCAGGTTTAAAGGTTAAGGTTTCACAGATTAAGTAGAAGGCCATGTGGCTCTAGCTTTCCCTGTAAGCCTATAAATAAAGAATTTTCATTTTATTTCAAACCGGTCAACTGAAACCTGCTCAGCCGACATTACTATCAAACTGAAAAAAATTTGAGAGATGTAATAAGTCCTTAGTGCTGTTTGGCACTGTCCAATCAGCGAGTGCTTACTGTAAAGTTATCCTCATAGAGTTAACCAGGAATTTCTTAATGGGTAGTGAATCATAACACAAACCGTTTTGCAAGCTCCATGTGATCCAGAATCCGCTGTTTTCTGGGTCCGTCAGCTGGAAGGTGTAGTGGACATCGCCTGCTCTCTCATGCCACACTAGCTTGATGTGCTTGGGAGATGTTTTGTAGAGAGAGATCTTCGGACAGATGTCTGAGACCATGGTTCCTCGGTTTTGTGGCTCGTCTTTGTGTTGAATTATCTCGATCACGTACCACAAGCCCATCAACTGTAAAACACAAAATGTTCATAATAGAAATATTCTTAAAATTAAACATGAAAAATCGGTGAACTGAATGTACGAGAGTTGTAATTCCTCACCACAAAATCAATATGTTTTATAAATAAGCAAAATATTGTTTGCATCTGTTATTTAGAGCACTTTACTGGTAAGAATGAAAAAATGTGTAATATATGAAGTAGAAAGCAGCCAAACTATGGTGCGTAGTTTAGGGAGAAGTGAAGAATGCATTCACAATCAAATATAAACCAAATGGTATGTAATTGAATATGTTCAAGTTAAAAGTTGTAATTTCTTAGTACTGTTTTTGACACGGTTTTACTTTGTGTGGGTCCCAAGAACTTTCCATATCTTTTTTTTCCAGTAAATGTATTTCCCTGCATGATGTCCTAATGCAGCAATAACATCAGATACAACATAATGTTACCCTCTATGTCTTTGTTACCCTTTATTTGTCGATTAGTCAAGGGGTTCATAGGTTTCCATTTTAAAGAGGACTCAAGATTTGTATGGGGGAGAATGACCACGCTACAACTTATGAGAATACCACTTTTCTGCATTCAGTATTTCAAGTACAGGGTGGGGCAATGAAAGCACCCCAATTTATAAGCTGTACAAACTCAATAATATTCACCCTATAGATATAAATAGCACATCAAAACACAGCTTATCTTTTGCCATTTTTACTTAACATCATTTTTCCATTTCTTGAGAACAAAATACTGCAAGTGACGTCCTTGTCCTACTCGACATTCCTTTTAAGGCACAATTCCATTAAATACTTCTCCAGCATTTCTTCAGGTTCACTTTAGTTTTTGGACGATTCTTAGCTTCTTGAAAAACCTTCTTCTTGAAAAACCTCGAACTTCAAGTAGCTTACTAGAACAACCCCCCCCCCCTCCCAAAAAAGGAGTGAACGTAAAACTTTCAACAACAAAAGCTTCCTGGAAAATGCCGTTGGACTTTGAGTTACTGCGACTCACACTCTTTCAACATTTGCTGGTATACAAAGAGTTTTGCGGCACCCACCGCTTATTTTTTTAGGTTTAAGCGTTTATCCTAAATAATTTGACCCTGTTCACCATTGTTTTCCAATCGGGAACAGTGCCATGTTGACCAAGGATGGAATGTGGTCCAAACAATCTCTGGGTTTTTGCACAAGAATCACTATTTTTAAAATAGGTTTCCACATAAAAATCTCAGTGTTAATAGCCTCAGGCATAATATTTACAAAAATGGCATAGTTTAATAGATGTTATAAGCACAGCTGATCATTCGTTGTTGCAACAATTAACATGTGACAGCTAAAACAAATTGTGGCGTTCTCATTGCCTCACCCTGTATTTTCTCTGACAGGAGCAACAAAAAGATAAGTCTCATAATATATTAATTTTTACAGTAAACAAATTGTGAATTAGTCTCGACAAGCAGCTGAATAGATAGTAATGTAATTAATCGTCCTCACACTTAATTATCTGTCTAGTATACCTGACTTCAGGACAACCTACCTGTTCCAGCTACAATAATTGATAGAGATCAGATATTCAGACAATTAGAACTAATTGATTTTGTGTAGCTTATGTTAAAATCTGGAGTCTCTTAAAGATAGGCTATAGTAGATAGGAACAGATTATTAATCATTGGGTATTTTTCTAGATAACATCTTGATCAGCATTGTACGTGTTATTAAATTTACGGACAATCATCATTCGCCTATTGGGTCTGATGATGATTGGAGTGTCGAATCGAAATCTATCACCACTTACCATCTTTTTTGTATATTTACTGTCTTGTGATTAACAGTATAAGCGTAAATATATGTTTTAAGTGTTATAAGACGTTTCTTTTATTTACTTTCCGTATTTTTCTAGCTTATGTTATTCCAAAACGATGCTCTGAGGTGATATGAGAAAGTAATTGCTCCACCTGCAACTATAACTGATCATTGTGGGACTCTACTACTAAAATTGTGATCCTGGTGAGAATTCTAAGAATGTTGCTGGAAGGTAGACGCAGATGCCTACAACAAAATTTATCACAAATTCACAACACAACAAAGGAAGTCTGTAAAGATCTCAGCAGAACTAGATGCAACGCACTGTACGCTTGGAAATTTTCGGGTCCTAACTTCATCTTTCACTTCCAAAGAGAGTAGTAGACTTTGGTGAGAAGTAACTTCATAATTGTTTAAAGTATGTAATAAATACGGTATTCTATTCGATAAAAATCATTTTTATAACTGATGCGATGTACAAATGTACAAATTATAACGGGATTCAAAATGGGTAGTACATGTATTGAAGGTCTGGGTCTATTCAAACAGTTTGTGGTTTGATGTTAAAGGCCAAAAATTATAAATGAAGGTTGTATCGTAAAATGAGGTCATGGTTTGAATCAGGAATTAGCATAAAGGAAGTGATATATATGGTAAGTGATTAGTTTTTCACATAAATTTCTTACAAACTACCAAAGCTATTATAGTTGTTTATGGCAGAACCATGACTAACCGCAGAGTCAATATCCTGCTCTCTATGGTCCACTTGCAGACAGGGATAGATGGAAAAGCCCTCCGGATGTATGATGATGGAGGTGGTGTTGAAGATGCCGTAGACTCCCTGGGAAGTGGACAACATCAGGGCAAAAGCCACCAGTGGCCACGCCATCTGGAACATGAAAAAATATCTTAGATGATCAGAATACATTTCAGCTTCGGCTGATCAATTAGATTCACTCATGTTTTGTCGAGAAAGATTAGCAATCCTATGACTGGGATAAAAGAAGCGTTCATTGTCAACAATCCTTTGTTTGTTACACTTTTGAACAATCGTTGCTCCATTCTCAAAATGTTGATTGTCTAGAAACATTTATCACAAGCAGTTCAAAATCACTGTACAACCTGATGATAATAGATATTACAATGGACAACATTGTGTTAATTGTGACAACATGTATTTTGACATAAGATTTGAGAATGGAACAAGGAAGGGGCTACTTTGTTCCACTACTCTAGTAGTAGCATACATAAAACATAATCCCTTAGTAGATTTCTCATTCTTATGGAACAGCTGAAGCCAATTTTATTGTTAGTTCTGTCGGAGAGGTTGGTTTTTGTTTACGATTTGTTTCTTGTTATTTCAGTCAAACCTTGTTTAACCATATAAAACTATCTAATCGTAAACAATTACTTGTAGTTATATAGCCAAACAGTAAAGCACAAATCATGAAATTAAACCCTAAATAATAGAAACAAAATTTCGCCTACACTAGCGATCAGTGTCACCGGACATGAACTAGACACAAAAAATTTACAATTGGATTAGAAGTCTACTAGTGTTGGTAACTTTAGTCTATGCTAGTAATTTGTCCTAATGAATTAATTGTGTGACAACAAAACAGTGCATAATAGATTTTATTGTTTCTAGGTTTATTTAGGCTGTCCTGCCTAAAAAAAAGCCTGTTGTATTGGTATTCTAACTTGCAATGATGATGGAAATAAAATTCAATTTATAATCTAAATAAATAGATTTATAATGCAACTAAAATCTTAAAAATAGAAATAGGACAAAGTGAAAAAATTAATTAACACCAAGTAGGAATTCCAAGGAGGAGGAATCAGAAAGGAATTTCTGAGAAAATTATATTGGTTTCTTGACAGAATTTGTCTGGCCCATCTCAGCAAGTTCTTGAGTGGGGTAGGCCTATCACTATTCAAACTAGAGTTGTCAACACCATCCAATACCTACTAGAATATGGTTTTTTCAAAGGCGGTTTTACTAACTCTTCAATTTAGCATTTGGTTTAGTAAACTGCTTTGTCTGTTAGAAAGGATTTTAATTTTAGTTTTAATTTAGAATTTATATACCAGAGCTTTAATTCTTTAAAAGGATTCACGTTTTTAACAATCGAACAGGTCAATGCATTTTTCAGTTGACTCTCCAAGTTAAAAATGTTGTCTTCAATCACAATTTGCTAATATTAGAGAACGCATAAACCAATTTTAAAACATTTCGTAACTAGGAGGGAAATAATTTGTACTTTCTCTATCTCATTCTATAATCACAATACTGTCCAAGAGTTTTATTCCTCATAAAAAGGAGAACAATCAATTAATTATACTCTTTTATAACCTATCATTATGCTACAAACTATAGTCAATGCTTTAGGAACCTGAGAGCATTAGCGTTGCTCCTTCATCTTCTGAATATATCTTTAAAGGCGCTTGTGACTTGCAAATAGTGGTTGCAATTCTGAAGGCGCTTTACATTGACTGCTTCTGTAGTTAGTTGGTACTGAACATGATTTGCGTTATTATTTTTATTTTACCTTGAGTTTGAACTATATAAAAAATTAATTATAAATATTAGTTTATAAAGCTGTGGCTGATTATAAATTGAAAACTTAGCCTAGTAGTTTAATCGCCTCAGAATCAAGAAACCCCCTGATTTATAAAGAAATCTGATCTTTTTACTTGAAGAATTAGTTTGAGAGATCTTCATTCAAATTCCGCCATCGCAACGCAACAGACAAGTAGTAAGGTGGGATTCATCCGCAACAGAGACCATTGTGAACCGGCCGATGCTGACCAGGCCTGCATGTGAACAGGGCGTCAAGCTCTGATGCATCCAAGGTCTTCAAGTTGTAAACTTGTTGATTCTGTGGCTGTCCTGTGCTACTTCCTTGTTTTCGACAACTCGAGAGAAAAATCCCCACAATGAAATATGAAAAATCCTATCTGAATCTATGATAAAATAAAATAATGTATGGAATTGGCTCTACCTACGGCTGCTAAAAGATCTTCAGAACAGTGTGAGAGAAAGTATGTGTTAGATTGCTGATACAGTTTACCAGAACAACTCGTATTATCACAGAAAACGTACTACTATAACCGTATTATGCACAATCACAAAGCTGATTTAACTAGTCAAATCTATGTTGATGTTACTTACCAATCAATCATTCGATAATCAATGATAATAATGGAAGTGTTTTGCATGTAGGCCTACGGCCAATTTTATATTTTGGTCTATACTTTGAAGAATTTAAAATAATAGGTTAATTCTTTTTTAATTTTTAGCTGCAAACTTGCATACAACAGAACAGCTAGTTTAAGCTTTAAACTAAAAAAAACACACAAAACTTAAGCTACTGTCTCTTTCAGTAAAGAATGTTTGTGATTACTTTGTAGATTCGCAAAATCCTTCGACAGAGAACTTCATTTCGCGAATTGTATAGATTTCTCTTTAATTTTGCGCCACAAGAGATGACGTAGGTTAGCACCTACGTCATCAATCATTCCCTGTCATGTAATACTGATGAAACACCCTTTTCTTTCCCTTTACCAACGTTTGGTAGATACTCCATGTTTATGTTTACAGTTTAGTGTTTAAATTACAATTATTATCGTACTGTACTTTGTCAATGCCAATTTTATGGAAAAGATTTTTAATTATGAAGGCAGATTTTATCCTATATTCTAATACGAGCTATGTCTGTAGTCTATGTCTGTCTGTGTTTCTGCCTGTCTGTCTGTAATATCCCTATCTCGAAATCCAGCGGAAGGATTTAGACTAAGTTATGGAATTAGGTACTTTTAGTCCTAAAAACGTGATTGGCGACAGCCATTACCAGGCGAAAATTCGTATTTCTTTACACAACTCATTTGAAAATTTAAAAATTTAACATTGGCCTTATGGGTTGCCATGTAACTATGTTGGTTGAACAAAATAACAAGGTCAAAGTAAACAAAAGAATTGTCACGTGGGTTTATAACAAGCCATCCACAGTACACTAGCGAATTACTAAATGCACTACAAAGGGAAAAACCAGTTGCAACTGTTGAGCAAAGATTACACTGAAGATTATTCTATATAGGGGAAAATAGGGTCGATCAAATACTGATTATTTTGCTTTAGCCGTATCCCACCAAATCCCCGAAGTAATGAGGCATTCCATGTAAACTAATTACATCTGGTGGTTTTAATTGGCATGCTAAATCCCAATGAAGAAAAAGACAAAATCTCAATTTCTTTAGAAGTAATAGAAAAACTAAGTAAAAATATTTTAATAGAAAAAGCAAGAAACTCTCTGCTGTATACCAAACTCTAATTTGAGAAAATAAATTTATCTGAATTTCAGTAGTAGCGAAAAAGTGTAAAATAGTTGTCAGAAACCATTTTGAAACTAATATGATTTTGTTTATATCATATTTTTATCTGCTGTCAATCGCGAGGGTAAAAGTCCAACCACGGGTTTCAATGACTAGAGGGGAGAAAAATTCTGTACAAGTAACTTAGTACTTAAACTTAAGCAAGATCATAACAAGTGTATTTTATTTTTGTTGTACATACTTTTACTTTTTACCATAGATTAAACATGTTTTATCTATAGAGTTGTTATTATTTCAGCGATCAAATGCCTATGGTTTGTAATAAAAATGTTTTTGTAAATTATAAAATGTCTGTTTACGATATTGTTTTAACGATTAAACCCAATTAAATACAACCGAGGAAGGCTCGGTCTCCCGGTATCACTAAAAAAGCTTCATCATCATGAAATGTTTTTGAAACAACTTGACTAATGGTATAAATTCGTAGACAAATTGAAGAAATTTTAAACAAGCAAATATGTCAGACTAGTCACTCACTCAATAGTGACTCAGATCAGTTATTAGTCATCAGTCATCAGTTATCAGTCATAGAGCACAATGTAGTTTATGTGAACAATTGTATGTATAGATAGTAGAGATTCTATGCATTCTTATATGTAATTTAGGTTATTTGTAGATCAGCAGTTCAAAGCTGTTAGCAAACTTGCTTTTCCAAATGTCCAAATATCCAAATGTTAACATTGCGTACTGGCTTGATGATAAATCACGATCAGCTGTATGAAGTAAACAAAAATTGGCAGAAAATGGCTTCTAATGCTATTCTTATGGAGAACATTTTACGTTATATCTCGTTTTCTGGTAACTTTATGGAAATTCTGCTATTTTTCCTGAGTCCCTGGGGTCAAGACCTTTATTTTAAGACCCCTCCCACTTTTCTGCGACTTACCAGACGTCCAAAATTTTCTGGTAAAGATTTTGTCTTACAGAATTATATGTATAAGGATTGGAATATGGAAATACGGCGTTTTGAAATACAGTAGTTGTAATAACATTGGATCTCAGTTGGATTAAAGTAAAAACAAAAATCGATGTTCAAGAAATGTAAAACTACTTAAAGAAACAAATGTGACAGCTTCAGAAACAATGGTGATAATTTTACGGACTGAGAGCTTGACCTCCAGGATCATATGACCGCTTCCACTGCCTAGCAATGGCATGACAACAGAGATAGCGAAGGCAACAAAGCATCCATTGTAGCAGAACAGCTGTGTTTAAGTTACGCTCAAAGCCTCTCATGAAATCATAAATACACAGTAGATGGTAACATTGACTTTGGATAGTGAACAACATATGCTTTAGCCAAATTTCTATGCAAATAAAACGTGATTGAATCACTCACAGAAAGTGCTGCAGTCAAACGGTCTATTCTGTCCCATGTGCCATACAGCTGCAATAGTTTACAATAAGTTATTGGTATCCTTTCAGTTTAACTTGGTTACAAAGTTTCCATGTTCCAGATAAATTAGGTGCCTAATTGACATCAATGCACTCTGTCGA